GTTACAGGAGTGGCAATTGGCGCTGGAATGCAAACAACAGTTGCTGTAGTGAACTTAGGGTGCTATTATGTGATAGGATACCTCTAGGAGTTGTATTGGGAGATGTGGTCAATCTCCAAATGAAGGTAAGTAACTGAAACTGAGAAGGGATGATGGTACCCTACCCTCTGCTTCTACTCTGTTTTTGTTTATGCAATATTAAGAGGTTTTTTTATGGGTTAATTCAATTTTTAGTCTATTAACTATCACCTTGATTTCATTTTAGTCTAGAAACTATGTTTTATTTCTAAGTGGTCTATTAACTTTCGCATTTATTTCAATTTCGTCTACCTGGTTATCTTTGACGGAAAACTTACTATTCTGTTAGAGAACAGTTAGTCCTCTAACTATATTTGTTTTGATTTTTTAGTCCTCAAATTTATATTTACTGTAAAAACATTTTTTATATTTAAAATTATTATTTCTATGCTCTGATACCATATTTTTATTCGGGTTTTTAGAACTTAATTAAGACTACTCTAACTAATGAATAACTGATAATATTTTAAAAATAAAAACAATTAATGAAAATACCCTAAGAAGAATTAAAGAAATGAGAAAAACCTAAATAAAAATTCGGTATCAAAGCCTAAAAATAATAATTTTAAGTATAAAAGTTGTTTTTACAGTAAATATAAATTTGAGGACTAAAAAATCAAAATAAATATAGTTAGAGGACTAACTGTTCTCTAACAGAATAGTAAGTTTTCCATCAAAGATAACCAGGTAGATGAAATTGAAATGAATCTGAAAGTTAATAGACCACTTAGAAATAAAACATAGTTTCTAGACTAAAATGAAATCAAGGTGATAGTTAATAGACTAAAAATTAAATTAAGCCGTTTTTTTATTATTATTATTATTTTTATCAACTTTTGACTTTCTTCTTTACAGGGTCTGTGGACTGGAATGCTTACGGGAGTGGCAATGCAAACCTTTGTTCTTTCTTTAATTGTACGGAAACCAATTGGGACAACCAGGTAAGCATGGTGAGACATTGTGGTGAGCCTAATTCTAGATTAGCTAGGGTCGACCTAAATTTAAAGAGGCAAAATTTATTGAAAGTATATTAATGAAATCTATATATGATTTAGAGAAATTAAACTTGAAGTTATCAATTTAAATATTTTGGGAAAGGGAAAAATAACGATATTTTGATATTAAAAATAATAAAATATTTAATTATAATTATTAAATATGTGAAATATAATATAAATTTTAATTTTATTTAATTTATTAAATAATCATAATTATTAAATATATGAGGTATGAAATAGATTTTAATTTTATTAAATTTATCATATAATTATTATTAAGTATTTTGATATTTTTAATATTATAATATATTGATTTTCCTTTTCTCAAATGTTTTAGGACGGAAAGGAGCAATTGATTGGTAGTAATTGCACGATGTGCACAATACGGTGAAGTGAATAAATAAAGTGACAGGGACAGAGTTCCAACTTATTAGAAAGAAAACTAGGTGTAGATTTTTTATTGGCAGGTTGGGTCAAAGACAATAAACTTATTTTTGCTTGCTTAGGCTGAATTAAATAATTAAATTTTGAAAAACATAAAGGAAATGAAAATTAGAAAGAAATGGAAAAATGGCAGAAGAAGAGGTGATAATAAGACCTGTCTTTATCTTTAATATTGGTAAACAGACGGAACCTTTCTTATTTAGATTTTTTTTTTTTTTTTGATACTACAGGTAAAAAAGGCATCAGAACTCCTAAATAAGTGGGTTTTAGAACCAGAAGAAGAAACCAATGATGGCCCATCTCATGCATAAAGAGAAGCACGAGCGTAATTTTAAGGGAAATGTTATTAG